CCCCCCCTGCCCCCCCCTAACCCAGTCCCACCCCAAATTCCTTTTTTCTTCCTATAAACATTTTTCCCTAGACGAGGAAACCCGTGAGGAAGGAATTTACGAGAATAAAATCATTTGAACTTGCCGCGTAACGTCGGAGAAAATTTAATTAATCGTTCGATCGCAGCGCCCCAATCGATCGCGCGACGAATTTAGGAAGCTCGAAAAAGCTAGGTTTAAAATTTACCCAAAATCGTATACACGTAACTTCCATGCATTTATACGCCCTTCCTGCGGTGTCGGATCGAGCAGCGCGCATGCGCAGAACGAATAAAGAAAGCCGGAAGTGACTGAATTTTGCACCTCGAAGAAGAATGAGATGCGCTAAAATTAGCCCGTACGTGAAAAGTGGCGTTGACGTTGCGATCCCGTTAAAAGATCAGCCTCGATAGCACGCGAACGCGTCAGCCATATATGTATATTGTATATACCCTGTGTGTACATATATACATATATACGCAGAGATATATAGGACTGCGAATAAAGTAATGGACGAAAATATCATTTCTCTTCGGCCGCGGTGCTCGATACGGGTCGCGCCTTCGTGGATCCGGGACTCGTCGAAAAGTGCTGATTTCAAAACAGATAGTGAAAGACGAAAGAAAAAAAAAGAAAAAAAAAAGAAGAAAACGAGAAGAATTTAAGCCCACCCGTTATAACGGCAACGCGAAGCGATAATATATCGTCAGTGATTTCGTAATTCGCTCGATGAATTTTCACTCGATATAAAATTTTCACCGGAGGAATCCGGCGACGCGCGCCATCTTGCGTTAGTAAATTGGCGGCAATTTTGAATCGTATCCTTTTCAACGGTCGTTCCGTACCATCTACTTGGACATGTTACCCGGTAGACTCCTTGAATTTTTTTTCTCTCTCTCTTACAATCCTATCTTCAATCCTCGACTCGGATGCTCTTTCATTTCTCTTTTAATATTTCTCGCCGATTCTCACGCCTCGGCCTGTCAAACAATTCATTGTTATATTCTCTTCTGTCACGTGTTGCGCTCCGGTGCAACCACGTGCCATTCTCCGTCAAAGATAAGGCGCGCGCGCACTTCTTCTTAATGCGTCTTAAATATGGTTATCAGTGTTTAATTAATACGTCCCACCAATGCACGTCGCACATCTACGTGGGGGAAAATAAAATCACGCGTCGCCGCATACACTCGTTCGCTCTATTATTCTTCGTCTATCCGGTATGCCAGTGGTCCGATTATGTTTCGACTTCTCATATGCGACTAATTCACCGTGTTTACGACTTCTCGACCTGATAAGGGCGACCGATACTTCGCGATACTTAAATATACACGGGTGTACTATATACACGCATAATATAAAACTCCATGGTCACCCTATATAAATATATTGACACTTCGCAAAAAAAAAAAAAAATATGCAATTAAAAACAGCAAATTGTCATATTGAACAATTTTTTTGAGTTTGTAAAAAATTTTCATTTTCTTTTTTTTTTTCAAAATTTTTTTTTTTTCATAGCAATTAAAAAATATTTTCACAGTCTTGCCTATGTACGCTTGATTTGTGGAGGGAAAAAATTTTATCCAATTTTTTAGAAATATATTTTGAAAAAAGGTGTGACTCATTTCGAGATCACTCGGTGCTAGGTGTACTGGGACGTCTTTAAAGGGCCCTACAAGGTCATCAGCCCTGAGCTTCAGGCCCTGTGAGAACCATATGAAAGCTGATCCAAGATTGGATCCATTGGGGTCTCATCCTACACACGCCCGTCTACCTTCGTACCTTGAATAGGGTACACGTGATGGTACATACGCATTCACGGACGCCTGCCAGCGCCCGAGCATACTTGTAGCACCGAGAGGAGGAAGGATGTGGTCAAGAAGACGGGCGAAGCAGGTGACGCCGCCGTCGTGCCAATATTACGCAAGACACTGTGGGAAATAACGGCTCCATATGTTCCAAAGGTTCGAAAGGCTTTTGAATGCTTTTTTTTCCGTAAATTCATTTTACTGCACGATTTAAGCGTACTCCGTGATAAATCGCGATCGTACGTGCCTGCTCCTGCACACGAGGAAGCACGAGTGATAAGGCTGACCGATAATACGTTGATATCAATTTATATGGTTAATCACATTTTATTCAGTACAGGATCGTTGAGGCTTCTGGCGATAATACGTAGAATCGCACGTGGTTGGTAAAAATTTGACTTTTAATGAATTTCTACAATACGTTATGGTTGCGGTTTTCGAGTAAGATTTTTTAAAATTTTTCGTACCCGTAAAATGGGTGAAAAAAAAATTTCAAAATCTTTCTACTCGAATTCCCGTTATATCTAAGTACTCCTATGTTCCGGTAATGCTCTTATCAGTCGGTGGGACGCGGAATGTTGCTACGGGCAAAGAGATATCGAGGGTCCAGCTGTCCAGCAGCTGTGAGCTTCACCTGCTGAAAGTTCAACGTGTTGGTTGGCCTACTGTGCGCGTGTGCACGTGCCCCGACGTATTTGGACGCCGAGCGTCTAAGGAAAGATACCAAGACGGGAAGGGGTTGAGCTGCCGGGACGTTGGTTACATTCGAATAGCGCCTTTTTGGGAGCTGAATAAATGTTAATATGCAAATCAGAGGCTTTTACATCTGTTCCGCTTGCTTTGCGTCTACAAGCGCGCTTTACGTACCGGATTCTAAGGTCTGGCCTAACCTAACCCAAGCCTAACCCAAGCCTAACCCAAAGGTAACCTACAATCGTGATTTATGGAATCGCACGACTATTATTCGCAATTACGTTCCACTTGCTCAAACTTTTTCGGTCGATCGATTCGTTCGGACTGCTCCGAGGTATCGAATTTGTTAATAATTATTTAATTATTATTTATGTAAATTTTTTTTTTTTTCATAATTACGTATAATTTCCTAATACGTTCGTCCCAACCTTTTTGCCTCGTTTGCCCGTGACGTTACTGATGGGTTTAGTGTATTGTTTTTTTTTTTTTTTTTTAAAATTTT